AAAATTTCCCTGGAAAGAAGTCATTTTTCTCCTAACATGTATTTAGAGAACACGTGCTCTTCTTTTTAAGAACATGAGAAATTTTAGTTCAAATTGTTATCAGGAAGTATGATAAATAATTATCCAACCTTTTAATGAGTGCCTGTGGATGAAGTGCTGCGCTTGGCACCAAGAGAATACAAACATGTTATGGCAATCCTTTCATTTGGATGATTGAAAATTTTTTTAAAAATCATATTTTTATTTATGAAAATACCAAAAGGGATAGGTACAAGATACCATGGTGTTGATTTTTATAAATATAATATTAATGATGTTAAATGACATGTTACTAGATATGACAGTCTCCATTACACAGCTACTATACATCCCCTTAAATGAAGAGCCACAAAACAAAATCAACATCCGGGAAGAAAAAGAAATTAACAACACCAAGAAGTTAAACAACATGCTATTAAAAGACTAACGTGTAGCTGAAGAAATGAAATTCAAGAACTTTCTTGAAGAAAATGATGCCACTGCATGATCTACGAGTCATTGAATGATTTAATCAGAATGGAGACTGTCATATCTAGTAACATGTCATTTAACTTCATGGCATTGTAAAGTTCTATTTTTCTTTCTATTGTTGATTTTGTATCATGTCTTTTCACTTAAGGGGATGTATAGTAGCTGTAAAATGGAGACTAACATCCAGATGTGAGAATGCAGAGTAGTATGCATTTCTACTTCCAGACAAAGATGGACTTACGATGAAACCGTTTACTATATCTTGACAATAGGATTCTGGACTCTCTGCCATTGTCCATGCCCACAGTGATGGACATATGACTGTGTATGAAGAACTATATGTTAGTAATGATATAGAGGAACTAGGTGAGGGGGAGGGAACTGGGGAGGGGATAAGGGAATATGGAACTGTATCATAAAATGATAGCAATGATAATAAAATGTAAAAAAAAATCAATGTAATATTAACGATGTTAAGTTGATTATGTCCAAGATTCCAACATAACACTATGGGATTTCAGAATGTTCTCTCTTTTTAAATTAATTTATTTTTATTGAAGATGTACAGACAGGAAGAGAGACAGAGAAGATGTTCCATCTGCTGGTTCACTCTCCAAGTGGTTGAAACAGCCGGAGCTGTGCCGGTCCAAAGTCAGGAGCCAAGAGCTTTATGCAGGTCTCCCACATTGTTGCAGGATCCCAAGACTTTGGGTCCAAGACCTTGACTGCCTTCCCATGCCACAAGCAGGGTACTACATGGGAAACAGTACTGCCGGGATTAGAACCAGCACCCATATGGGATCCAGGGGGCATTCAAAACAAGGGCTTTAGCCACTAGGCTACCGCACCAGGCTCTCATAATGTATTTTAATAGAAAATTTAAATGCAATGTGTGCTAGAGAATTCTAGTAAGATGATAAGCTTCACAGCTTCTTGCCAGGTCATATTTAATGAAAATAGAAACATTTAAAAGTCCTTTAAAATATTCATTTACGGGGCTGGTGCTTGGTGGCATGGTGGGTAAAGACAATGCCTGCTACACCAGGATCACATTATGGGCTCCAGTTCAAGACTAAGATGTTCCAATTCAAGTCTCACTCCCTGCTAATGTGACTGAGAAAGCAATAGATGATGTCCCAAACGCTTCAGATCCTGCAGCCGAGGATGACCTGCAAGAAACTCCAGGCTCTTGGCTTCAGCTTGCTCTAGCCCTGATCTTTGTGGATTTTCAGAGCATTAACTAACAAATGGGAGCCCCCAGTTCTGTGTTTACTTTACCTTTCAAACAGAATAATTCTTTATAAAAACATATGTAGTCATATATTTGAGAAACAGAAACACTCTTACACAGAGACAGAGAGGGAGAGAGACAGACAGATAAAGAGAGAAAGAGAGAGAGAGAGAGAGATAAAGAGAGAAATATCCTGTCTACAGGTTCATTTTCCACATGCTCTCAATGTCCAGGGCTAAGCTGACATCAAAGTTGGGAGCTGGAAGTTGAATATAGATATTCAATGTGGGTGACAGAAACACATAGCTTCTTTACCTTAATTGCCTGAATCATTACTGGTGTCTCAGTAATTGCATTAGCACAGTTCCTGTGAATTTAAGGTTTAGTTGTTAAAACTGACAAGGTTTTCAGTAATAGGGACTGAAATCCATGAGTAAATATTGAATTTGGCGTTGTATGAGGAAATACTCAAATTGAAAAAATGTATTTTTGGATATATGAAGGGGCATCAAAAATAGTGCTTTTTTTTTGTTTCAAGGTGCTGTCTCAAAATGTCAAATTCCACCTGAAATTTAATTTTCATAATATGACAGATCTTGAAAAATTTTCAAATCTAAAATATAAGAAAGAATTACAAACAAAAAATCTTTGCCATTGGATAAGTGACATGACAGACACTACTGAGGAAGAAGTGTTCAAATAGTTAAATGTTAACGTTCCCAGAGAATTCTTTGTTCACATAATACTTGAATATTACTGGTTTTCAATAACACCCCACACATTTACCTTACTTTTCCTCTACCACAGTAAACTAAGTGAAGACAGAAACAGCAACAAATAATATTTGTTAACAATATTTTAAGTAAACATACTAGAAGTTTTCTCATCCAATATGTCATTCACAAAAGCAACCTATAAATTTAATTAAACAATCAATGGATTGTGCATTGTTGTGCAAAGGCTGTGCATGGAGGGCCCTGTGTTTCTACTATACTTCACATCCTTTTCTGAACAAGTTCAAACCTTTGACATGATGGCACAATGAGCCACAGCTCACATCCAAGTATCAAGTCCACCTTTTTAAGACTATCAAGCAAGACCTCTGTATTATTCCCAGGATAAAAATGTCACCCATTTTGAAAAATGGCATTCATCTCAGACAGCTGTTCAGTTCAACGCTCTGCAGAAAGGAACCAAATTCCGACCTCTTCAGTGGGCTCAAGTCCACAATTATCACCACTGAATTCTATCCATTCATCAAGTGGAAGTGTGAGGCTGTTAGAAATGAGGTGTAATGACCAGCTTTTCTCTCTCCTGCTTTGTCCCGCTCTTCATCCTGGTTTTTATTCCCCTCAGCTTCCCCCCACCACCATCTCTTTTCAATGCCGTTTTTAAAAAGAAAAATTTGCCACAAAATAAGCTTTAGAATGCACCTAAATCAGAGATTATTTAATGATTAGATTATACAATCTAGTTATTTAAAATCATTTATTCTCAGCAAAATCAAACATATCATTGAGTTTACAAAGAAATACAGTTTGTAAATCAGATCTTCATAAAAATCCACTGGTGGAATAAATGTTCATCATTAAGGATCAATTATGTACTATTGAATCATGCCAGTAGCATAACTGATTACCATTAAAAATTGGTAAAGTAGCATCCCTTAAATGTGCAAATATCATCTTAGTATTCTATTGTGTTACCATTGATAATAAATGAGTTCTACATTTATACCTATTACATAAAGCTTTTAAAGTACAATAAAAATACAAATTCTATCTGTTAAAAAAAAGCCATTCATATGGCTTCTAAACATCCTCATTATACAAATTCCAAAATACTATATGACAAACAAAACTATGCAGATTCTCCTTTATGAAACATACACTACCCTATAATAAGGTACAACATAACAGGTAACAGAAAATCAAAGGCTCCTTCATACCATAGGACATCATGAGCATACATACGAAAGTAATATTGCATAAGCATGTGTGGTTTCTGTTCCTACTAAAAATGTAATTTTACCACTTAAAGAAAATTCCCCATAAAGATACACTGATTTTTAGGATACTCCCTATGCAAACCCCACATTTTCATTTATTTACTTTTTCCTTACTTTATGGCTAATAAAATTAAACATTTCTCCCATAAAGTTTCTTGCAATGAGTAAAACTTTGTTACATAATGGGCAAATATTTAGAAGGTAGCATTCAACAGCACACCTAGAAGATGTTGTAGAATTATATTGCTCATATCCAAGGCTAAATTTTAAAACAACTAGATTTTTGTGAAAGACAAAATTCTGACTTCAGTAGAATAAAACAAATTAAAATTGCTAAATAACTCATAATTTATATAGAATAGTTGCCATGTAGAATTTTTAACATCAAAACCAACGGGCATCATAGAACAAACTTTGGTGAAAAATATCTTTACTGAAGCATAAAAATATAACGATAGGCTTTTTTAATGAGCTGAAACATATTTAGTTAAGTGAATATGGATACTATAGACTGCATGGAAAGGCAGCACATACTTCAAGTTCTTTTTGTTTTTTCTTTTAAGAAATATCAGCTCAGATGATGTTTCGGGTTATAGTAATGTTACCTTTCTCTATATATGTGAAACTAATACTTGTATAAATAGCAAATTTTCATTTTCCAGTTGTTACTCATGAAACAAATTCTTTAGACCATAATTGATAATAATTAGTATTATTACCATGTATTATTAATAAATAACCTAAATATATTTGGTTTAATTATTATGGGAATGTATAGTCTCGTTACTTTACTTGCTAAAGATGTGGTGGTATTATTTCAAAGTTTACATTTTTCAACATGTAAACAATATATTGTATATAAAATTATATGTCTGTGATGAATGGTCACATGCCTTGAAAATAGAATGTATTTATTTGGATATCATGACTCCTCTGAATTTTAAAAGCTATCATTAGTGTATGGCTTTTGGGAAATCAATACTAAGCTAGCAGGCTACAGAATCAACACACATTTCAAGGTGCTAATTGTTTAGAACTCGGATACAAAGTTGTATACTTGCATTCATCTTTCAATTGTAAATCCACCTACAATTGAAACAGATAGGAACGCAGAAGTATGATATACATTACAGAATCTTATTTTGAAAACAGAAATTACAGATCAACAATAAATGTGGCAAATTTTACTGAAATACTTGTCAAAATACTATGTAAAAATATATTGGCACATGTATAATACCTGTCTTAAGATAATAATGAATGATATATATGTGTATATAAACAAATTTAACACGAGTCAGGATCTTTTGTTCTTGACATCAGCACCTACTGTCTAATGGGTCCAGACAAAATACTGTTCCTTCAAGAGTTAGTCCCATTTTGAACCCCTCCTGTAAGACATAATAAAATAAAATAAGAAATACTATGCCAAAATAAAGTGAAATCAGTACATAAAATAGGTTATGAACAGAAGTTCAAAGTTTCTTATCCTGACCAACTACGAGACCATCATACATCAAATATTGGCTTATTAGATTTTACAGTTCTGGCATAGAGTTCTGGTAGGTTGTTTAAAACTTTTTAATGCTTTAAGTATATATATGAGGTTAGCACATGTGTGAGACAGAAGAAAAAGGCACTATGGGTTTGAAGATTTATGATTTAAACATTTGTATTTTGGGAAAGCTTATTTTATGACATTCCAGAGTAGAAAAATTATTGGCTTAAAATAATTATTGATTTAAATATTTAAGATAGCTAGACCTCAAATTAATGAGAAGTTCAAGATAACCTGATGTTTTTTTTTTTTTTTCCTTGCTTTCTGGCCACAAGTGTTCCAAACACTGAGTAAAGCACTTTTTATGCATCCATTGCCACCTTCCGCTAGACACAGCACTGTAGACTGTGTGGCCCTTACCTTTAGCCAACTATCTCTACTTCAACTCTGAGTGTAATGCATTTTAGAAGCTAAGCTATCTTTGACTTACTGAGACTAAGCATATACTCGTGAAAAGTTTGTGCTTTCCCCTAAGAAATTTAAGTTAAAAAAAAAAAGTTGTAACAAATTTCCACTTTATGCTCTTCTTTTATGTCTAGCTACCTCAGGTCTACCATTCCTCTTCCACAACAGACCCACCTTACCAGTAACCCAGTGCACACTGACCTACAAAGAGATGAAGATGAAGCATGAAGATGCTGGTCCTAAAGCAGGAGGTCCTATTTTAGGTTTCCTTGTAGGAGCCATGTGCATGTGCCAGCAGCCAAAATGGCTTTTACTAGATATGAATATCCCAAAGTATTTCTTTTCATACAGATGCAATGCAAGCATTATATTATGCTCACAGAAAAATGTGTAGTTATAAAACCTAAAGCACTTTGTTATTAATATTCACTGAGCAGTCTGTTTTATGTTGATAGGGAAGAAAGACTGCCTACCAATGTCATCACAGGAAATGATTTTTGAAACATTTTTCCAGTACGGAGAGTAAAAATTATCTTGTTTGTGAAGGTCAGAGTACTTGCCATTGTTTTTCAAACACCTATTCTGATCAAAAAAGAAATTTTTTCCATATCTATGCATTGCTTGCAAACAGCTACCAAACACTTAAGTAAAAGTAAATACTTTAAAATATTATTCAAAGACTCATCTTTTAAAATAGTTTACATGAAAAATTGAGAACTGTCATGTTATATTGTGAGGTGACATAAATGATGGGTGTAGTAATTTAGAGATAATTACATCTTGGAAGGTTTTATCAGTACCTTTTGAAATCAAACAAGTATCATTTCAATCACTCATAGAATTGTGTTCAATGTCAATCAAAGAGGGGTGAATCACTATTTTAATAAATTATTTTTACCACTTGCAACAAATTCTCTGTGATGATTTTTAAAGGATATTCTTAAGTGAACCAAATCATTTAGTATGCCATAAATATGATTACAAGGTTCAATGCTTTTCTTTGCACCTACAACAAATTTATAACAAACTTTGTGGCCTTTTCTCATCAGTGACAGTTGGGAAATCATGCCTAAATGAAGTTGAAATTCATTAAAGTGTCCACATGTTAGTATACAGTAATATCTAACAAAATGACTTTAAAGTTAATTAAAATATTAACTGCATGTTTTATATGAAATATTTTGCTCAGACATTCTAATTTTGTAATAGAAAATGTTATCAAAGAAGGAAAAACACTCATATGCAAAAACTGTTAGCATGTTGAGGTTTACCCTTTAAAATATTCCTTTTTCCAGGCTATAGATTTTTCAATTATTAGATGATAATATAAGTAACTATGTTTATTACATATCTAAGTTTCCATTTATTATATTGAATATGCTACATAGTATTTACTTTCTTGCTTTGAACACAATATTGTGGGTTTCCAAACAGCAATGCATCATGATCATATGTCATTAATTTTTGCAGTAATTTGCTTTCAGTCTTTTACACGAATTTTTGCAGAATTTTACTTGTCAAGGTTGATTAGATATCATTATTCAAAAATTTAACACAACCATATATAGTTCCTCCTCAGAAAAGATTGCTTTATATTTTTTGACATCAAATAGAAATGCAAGGATTCGAATAAAATTATTCTCCATTGTAACTTCATGAACTGACCTTGACCTAGCAAAGATTTCATCAGATTTTCCTTTGCACTTATGTTAGAAAGAAAACAAGCTACCTGTCCATATGAACATTGCATTTACAGTCCTGTATGTGATATTTCTGTCTACTTTGGTTGGTCAGAACAGGGCTACTTCTGTTATAGTCCTTTGTAAACTATGTTTTATGTCTGTTGATCATTTAGTTTTTACAATCTTTGTATACCTGTTTTCCCTTTATGTGATATGTTTACATTTTTAAGGAGAGAATTTCAAACAAAGTATGAAGAAAACATATCCATAATTTCTTTTTTTTAATAAAAATTTATCTCCAATTAAAAAAATCTCATGAATAAGTTTCAGGCATACTTTGAACTTATTCTAAATTATTAATAATGACAACACCATTTATTTTTTTACTTTTACTGGCTATCAATATTCTGGGATAGCAATATTATTCCATTGATCTGGCTGCTAGTGACATAGCTGGTAGTTTAAACAATGTCTAATCAAATAACTGCTTTATTGATTTCAAATAAATATCCAATTCTTATGCTTTAATAAATTGGCTTAATGTTTCATACATGCAAGAGCAATATAGCTGTAATTCAAATTTCATAATTACCTTAGGAGTTACTAGGTCATAATCCTCTGTGATCAAAAGAGGAAAACTGAAGATTCCACCAGGCTCAGTAACTCAATATGTTGTTCATACCCATTACACTATATTTAAGTTCTTATATAATATACAAATAAGAGTACTGGGTTAATTACACCAGGAAGATTAATACCAAAATTGTCACAGGCTTAGATAAACAAGCCACAGTTGCGTTGTATGTAAGTTAGATTAAAAGAAACAGACAGGCAATAAAGAAAACAATGCAACAGTGACTAAATCCCTGAGGAAAAACACTAAAAATATGAACTATGAAACCCCAAAACACAACTGGTAATCAGACCCATGCATTTGAAACTACATTTAAATATTTATCAAAGCATGCAAACGTTAAGATTTGTCCATTAGAAAGGTGTAAAGTCTCTAAAATTATTGTGAATATAGTATACCAACCATCTCTGGCGCTACCCACCATGAAAGCAGAAAAGAATAAAAAGAGACATTAAGAAAATATTAGAAATGGCAGAAAAAGCCCTGCAGTTTAGCATTTGATTACCACAACACTAACTCATTGCAATACAGCACTTTCCAAACCTTATTCTTGTATTGAACATGATTTTTAGTTTACAGAACATCTTTCAATTTTTTGATAACCTAAAAATTTCACATGACTTACAAAACAAGATCTATCACATCAGTACCCATTAGTCCCAAGCAGTAAAAACTTAATTAGCAATATCTATAAAAAATCAAATATAATATGAAATGTAACATTTTCCTAATCATGTATCACAGAAATGAACAGTCCATAGTATTTGAAACATAGGAAAGAGGTGGGGAGATTGTGCTATCTGATCCATAGGAATCTGATGTAGTTTCAACCAAGTGGCATCATCTATTCTGTTATGTGACACTTCTTAATTGGTAGTGCTTTTACTTAATTGATAAGTTTTGAATTAACAATTGTATAACAATATAAAGATACATTGATAGCATTTTAGTAAATATGTTATGGCAATTTAACAGTAAGCATATAAAATTACTAGAAGAGATTTTAGTGTGTGAGATGCAAAGCTTTCTGTCCATTCATTTTCCACTTCTCTGTATACTTATCTCTATGCCAGTTCTTAATGAAACTGAAAGTTGTAGTTTCAATTAGTTTTTGTGTTAATCTGCTTTTAAAATATGTAGTGTAGCACAGGGGAGCATTTAATTATGATCTTCTAGTCTCAGCTAATTAGCTCACATTGAATGAGTTGGGAACCTCTGACCATTCATGTAAGTCTTATCACTCTTGCTTTGTATACACTTCTGTAATATACGTGTACCTAGTTAGCATTTTGTTAATCAATCGACCTTTCATTTTAACTGTTAAGATTCAAAAATTATATCATACTTTAGGAAATTCAGAAAATTTTATAACAACATTTTTTCAAATAAAAGTCAATTATGAAACAGTCAACTTGAGAATTAGTGTCTTAATTTATTCTTCAAAAACGTCAGAGCCTATTCTAAACATCTCAGTTTTTGATTCAGAACTCATATCTAAAATAATGAACAAATTCACAAAAGAAATTTTAAAAAAGAAAAAGAAAAAAAGATGCCTCAATTGCTACAGTTCAAAAGAAGTGGAAGGGCATCAGACCATCTTTCCAGACAGGGAGTGTGTCTGCAAGTATTACATCACAGCTCATTCACTCATTGTTTTTCTAGAACTTAAGCACAGACAGTGAATGTATTAATCTACGGCTAACAATCAGAAAAATCTATTTTGCTTTAGTATCTTCACTGTCTCTTCACAGTTTTAAAGATTTGATATTTATCTGGATTCTGCCATATAGAAACCTTTTTCATGAGAAATATTATACAACAGGTTAATCAAAATGTACAGGGAACATATAGAAGTAAGTTATTATTGCACTGTTTATAAGACTATTTATTAACTAGAGTCCATTGCATAATTCCTTTAAACCTAATTTCTCCAAACTTCTGAAACAGTTCAGAATTCAAAAGCAAGAGGGAGAATGAAAAGGAGAACTCGACGACACTGCATTCCTAAAGAACATGTCACTGGGTGTCTGCTTTTTCAGGAACAGCCCACAAGTTATGAACTTTAGCGACAATGCTTCTTTTCAAAGAAAATAATTTTACTGTTATGAAGATTTTCCCTCATCTACTCATTGAAATCTGTCATCATTAAGACTAAGGTCAACTACTAAAAATCTAATATAGTCACTGTTTCTGTATTTCAAAATAATAAACTTTGGAATCCATGGAAATTTGCCTAAAATCAAACAAAATCATTGTAAATTAAGTTGCCTAGAAAAGAATTTCATTCTTAGCATAACTGGCTTGTCTCTTGGATTAAGCATTAAGGTAATATTTTATGTAATTATTTTATAATTTAATATAATTCTTTTATATGAGTAAGACAATTCAAGGAAAGAGTATATTTGTAATGTAAGATTTTTTTTTGCCCTAAATTTCAGAAACACACTTGTACTAACATGCTAACACACTTACCTGCATCTCATCTAATTTTGATTGAATATCTGGAGGAAAATCCCCTGCTCCACAGTTAAATGGATCAAAAGGTTCTGCCCCAAACAAGTCCCGTTCTAAAAGGAAGGAAAAAAAAATGGAATGACATGACAAGCGGTGTAATAGAGTAAGTTAATTTCAAAGGCAGGATTATACAAATAAGCACAAAATAGACATGATCAAATAAGTCACTATTCTGCACTCACACTTTATGTTGGATTTCCTTAAGGTTAGACTAAACGCCAAAAGCCCTTTATCTATTGTTAAAAATTATATGATTATAAATCCAACATGATTTTTTGGTCTTCAGTGAAGAGTAATATCAAATTAAAAATGTCTGATAACTAATATAATGCCTACATTTTATTGTAACAATTTAACTTCACAAAGCAAAAAAAAAAAAAATGCTGAGACTTTCCTAATTCCAATTTCCAATTAATAATATCTTACAACATAGCAACAGAGAAATATGGAACACCCGATGAATCAGTCAAAGGTTTTATTATATTTCATGTATTTTTAACTCTCCTGCTATTCAGAAAAAAAACTTAAGGCACATCATCTCCTGTAGTATGAAACCATCTTCCCTTCCTACATAAACCACACTGAGATGGTTCTTTAAAAATAAGACGGCTTGGTGGCATATCAAACGAATCCTTTGCCTGCAAGTACCGGCATCACCCACAGGGGCCCCAGTTCCTATCTCTGCTGCTTCAATTCTCCAGTTCTCTGCTTATGGCCTGGGAGAGCAAAAGAAGGTAGGCTAGTCCTTGGCACCCTACAACTACATGGGAGGTCAGGAAGAGACTCCAGGTTCCTGGCTTAAGTTCAGTTCAGCTATAGACATCGTGGCCATTTCAGGGGTGAATCAAATTTTGGAAGATCCCTCTATTCTACTCTCTGCCTCTACTTTCTCAGTAAAAATCTACATTTCTAATAAAAATAAATAATTAATATTTCTAATAAAAATAAATAATTTTTATAAACACACTTATATCCTCCCCGAAGATTTGCTTTTAAAATAACAGGAATTAAAAAACTGGCCTCCGTACATTATGTTCTGAATTCTGCATTACCTGTTAATCATTAAATTAGTAGCCACAATTGGTGTTTGTGACAGTCTTAGGGCCTATTGTAGGATATAAAACCTTAGAAAACTACTTTCCTCTGAATCAACTGAAATGTAACCTCCACTGAGAAAAATTAAGATATTTATAACATATTTAACAGATATCTAACATATTTATAACATATTTATACTTTCAGTTTGCAAAAAATTTTGCCTTCTAAATTCAATTGTTTAAATAATATTTAGGCTACTTGAATCCTATTACATCCTCTAAAATCACTCCATGACTCCCATTTTGAAGGATTTTTGTTCTTATGGTCTCACATCTCAGCATTAAATAATTTTAGAAATTAAAAATGCATAGAAATAAGCATAGAAATGAGAGTTGTATATTTAATTATCCAAATAAGGATGTTTTCAAAAGGAAAACTTCTAGATGGAATATGCTAAATAAATGAGAATTTATTGTTATTGCATATATAGATATACATGTATATACATATGCATCTATATGCACATAGATACATACACACTCAAGTATATACAGGTATTTTAAGGTTGTCATTTATTTTTACTATGAACGTACTCAAGTGTTGGAAATGTGGCACAGTAGGTTTGAACTCCAGCTGTTCTGGTTCCTTTAAAAACATTTTTATTTATAAAAGGAGAACAGACTTTATACATTCCATAGTTACAGTTCCAAGAAGGTATCTACCCTCTCTTCAACAGTTTTTGCAGACAATGCATTGTACATTCATTCATCATTAACAATAACATTGAGCATGTAGAAAGGAGGAGTGCCACAATTCCTCCAGGGTATAATGTGCCTGGGAAAAGAGCAGATGAATGGCACAAGTGCTTGTGACCCTGCTGTTCACATGGAAGACCTGGATGAATTCCTTGATCCTCGCCCAGGCTGGGTCCTTGCTCCCTCTTGGGGAGTGAAACAACGGATGGAGTATCTTTCCCTTTCATTCATGCCTGCATTTTGAATACATAAATCTGAAAAAAAAATCCTTAAAATCACCTGACTCTCTAGCTGGGCTTGCCAAAGTCATTTCTAATTTACAAATGTGTAAACAAAATTTGTGTTTCCTCTATTTTTCTAGTGATGGTTGGATTTTTAAAATTTTGGTCTACAATCCTGAAGGATAATTTAAATTTTGAGATTATAATCAACATCCTGATACATTATTCCTTCAAAATGCCTTCAAATTTGCTCACTCTTTGTAATTTACATTCTCACTTAATTTATAACACTGTTAAATTAAACACTATGTGAATAACTGTACTTAAAATTCCAGCATGTCAGAACCCTAATGTACATCATGGTAACTACAAATATTAACAACATCTTTTACTATCATGAATATTATAAAATTACTGAAAAAAAACACGTTTTAATTCTTCTTATCACAAAATAATATTACAGAAATGAGGCAATGTATTTATTTAACCTGATGTAACCATTTCACAATGCGTCCATATTATATATACTGAAACTCTGAAACATTCAGAATGCTTTCTAAATGTTTATCTATACTATTGTTCATGAAACAAACTGCTTAAGGCATGAGCAGTAAGATGATCACCATAACTCTAGACAAAGAGAGTTCACTTTGAGTTGCAGTGAAGATTCAGATGACTTGAACAAGCGCCTTCTTTTGTGTATAACTCCACGATGTATTAACAAAACATTTTTCTCTAGAAAAAAATTCTAGCATGTAAGCCAAGTACATTGAATGTAAACAATGCACACTTATTGAATAAATAAGCGAATGAGTCAATAAGTTCCAAGAAAGTGAAAGCTAGGAGTAAAGGAAGAGATCCTGGAAAATATGTAAGGACACAAAATACCCCTTCACATGATCATGATTGCCTTATAATCATAGACTATTTCCTTGACAAAAACATTTTTTCATTGGTACAAAAATAGATTCAGAGACCCTAAAATACACTCAAGATAAAAAATAACTGAAATAATTTTATTTACTAATTGCCGAAGTCTCTAAAGTTCTTACTTCGTGTTTACAAATTAGTTTTCCAAAATGCTTCAAGTTTGTATAACAGGCTCTTTTCTTTGTCAAGTTTCCCAGGGGAAGCAAATAAACTATAGGTATTGCCATTATTATAAGCTTGAAGCTGTGGTTCTTGATTTGTAGCCAAAACGTCTTAATGTGAACTACAGAACACCCCAAAAGCCATGATATATGAAACTAAGTTTTTCCTTTTCAGTTTCTCTTTGGGCACCGTGATTAATTTATAGCCACTGAAACTCTTCTTTCCATTTCTATGAAGGGAAAAGATCAAAATACATTCAGAAAACAAGAATCTGCTGGATGTTTCCTCATTTATGAAAAAGACTTCAGTGTTCCTTCCAGACATTACAAGAAAAAGCAGAAAATGTCGTTTCCCCATTATTTTAGACATCAAAGAAGTAATTCTTACATTGAGCTAATAAATAAATCTAGAATATAATCTCTATTCCTTCAAGTAAAAATATTCATATTTTCTGATACAAAAACCTACACCAAGTTATATTGAAATCTGGAAAATGACCTGCTATAGCTGCCTTGTACCTAGGCAAGCATTATACTACTAGCAGAAAGGCAGCCAATAGCTGGTGGGTCCAAATTTGTGTCGACTATACCACTATGTCAGCACAGCTGCCTGCCTGCCTTCCTTCCTGCCTTCCTTTCTTTCTTCCTTCTTTCCTCTCTCTCTCTCTCTCTTTTATTTTGATAAATGTGAAAGAAGAAGACGGAGATCTCAAAGCCAGGACCAGGACATACCACCCTGGCCTCCACACTGGGGGGGTGGGAGAGTGGCAGGGATGGCTGCAGATTGGCCGGGGAAGGGGTCTGGCCATGATTGATGTATTGGAGTGACAGAAGCTGAGGGCATTTCTGGGGTATTCAGCAAATCGGACCACTGCACTTGCAGGTGGATAGAGAAACTGAGATGAAGTAGTTTAGAGTGTCAGAGCAGCGGGTAGTGCCTGTCAGGCTGGGCTACAGCACCCACCAGAATATGAGAAAAATGAATCTGGGACAGATTCTGCAGACGACTTATGGGTTCACCTCTGTGGGACTGCTACACCTGACAGTTTACATAGAAATCTGTAGGCGGTGATGGGCCGAACCAGGCTGGCCCACAAAATTCACCTGACAGAAACCCATCTCACACTCGCAGGGATTGGGGCTGGGAGAAAGCCAGGTGGGGCTAGAGTGTAGCACCTGCAAGGGTCAAGAATGAGGGCAGACAGTGGCAAACAGGGTCGCTGCCCTGGATGGCATATGTGAGGTCTGGGAGCAGACCTGGCAGGGAAACTTGGGGGATTCTCCTGCTCGTCTATAGCTCCCTCTGGGAAACACAGGAGTTGCGACTAGAGGTGGGCCAGGCTGGGCTATAACATCCTCCAGCAAGAGCTGAGACTGCAGGTGGATCATGCCAACTGAGTTGAAGCATCCACCGATACACATAAGACCCAGTCTGGTAACGGACCTAGTAGGTGAACTCTGAGGACTCTCCTGCTGAGCTGCAGCTCCCACTGGTAAGTGTATGATCCAGGTTTGTGGGCAGACCAGGCTGAGTTTGGGTGTAGCATCCACTGGCATATGTATGGGTTGGGTCTGGGTGCAGACCAAAGTGGACAGGGCTCCAGCAACTACTGGTGTCCACGAGTGCCACAGTAAACGTGGGAAAGGCCAGGCTGGGTCATGCACCTTCTGGTTCTGGTGGTGGGCCAGACTTGGCAAGGCTGTATCAATCATCGGTGAGAGCTGGAATGGGTGCACTGCAGTCAGACTATGCTGTAGTACTCACTGGGGACCAGCCATGTCAGTCCAGGCAGCAGCACCTGACAGCACAAGCAGGATTTGGGGCTGGAAGCAGGCCTGGTAGAGGAACTTAGGGAACTCCCCTTGTAAGTGTAGTACTGGTAAGCACAATAGCTAGGACAAGGAGCAGTCTAGGCCAGGCTGAGTTGTAGTACTTATTGATACATATGTGAGGTGCTTCTGGTGGTGGACCAGGTATGTTTAGTTCACAGCACATACTGGCAGGAGTGTGCTGGATGCAGGCCTGGCTGAGTTGGACAACAATACCTGCCAGTTCATGAGAGGGCTGGGGTGGGCCAGGCTGGACTAGGCTGCTGCACCCACCAAAGAGAGCTAGGACTGGGGGTGGGCTGGGCTAAGGTAGGCTACAGCACCTGCTGGCAAAAACAAAAAATGGGCTATGGGTTATCTCAGACTGGGCTGGAGCACTTTACAGCACATGCAAGACCTGCAGTTGGGAGTGGACCTAGTAGGGAAATTCTGGGCCTTGTTAGACTGTTGTTTTCAGTAGTCAGCGTTAAAGCTGGAACTGGACATAGTCCAGGCTGGGCTAGGCTGTTGAACCCACTGGCACACAAGAAAGGCAGAACGGGTGCTGGCCAGCCAAGTTAAGGTAAGCTACAGCACCACTGATAAGTACCTGGAATAAGTGCGAGTCATGTCAGGCTTGATATCAGTACCCCCTGGCAGGCACGAGACCTGGGGCTGGGAACATGCCTGGCAGAGAAACTATAGGCACTCCCCTGCTAAGCTGTACCTAACACTGGTGAGCACAAGAACCAGAACTGAAGCCAGACCTGGTTGGACAAGATGTTGGTATCTGTTTGCATACATGAGGACAGGTCTGAGGTGCAGGTCAGGTTGAGCTGGGTCACAGCACCCACAGGAGTGCACAAGACCCAGATGGGACGTGGGGTGGGCTACGATCAGCTGCAATAGAGGCTGGCATGAGCAAAAACTGGGTCTGGGTGCAGGTCTTGGAGGGATTAGTCATTGCCCCAACTGGGATGCAACACCTACTCATCTGTGATGGGCTAGCTGGGATGGGCCATAGAACCAATCAGTTCACGTGAGATATGGTCCTGTGGCAGAACTGACTGAGCAGCTGTATCCAACAGTATGTGCACTGGCTGGTGCAGGTGATGCATCAAACCTGACTCTGCACTTTCTGGCACACACAAGTCAGACCTGGCATCACCCCAGGTGGGATTTCTTGGGTGACTCCCTGACTGGACTGCTGGAGTAACGCTGGGCACAGGGAGAATCACAGGATGTGTAGCCTGACTTTGGAGTGCCTATATTCGGTCTGGGCCTCCTTGGTTGCTGATCCTTGCATAGCGGATAACATGTCCAGTTGCACTCAGAAGACATGACAGACAGCTCATCCAGGTGAGCAGGGTGCGGTTACTGCCACGTCAGAGAATGGAGGGTAGAGCAGGTTGGACAATTATCCTGACCAAGCTTTGCAGAATGTTCCTGGGTCTGTGAATACACTAAAGAGGACTTTGTCAACCAGAAGATCTCAGAAACACTTTCTCAACCCTGGAGCAACAAAAGCAACAATGACTCAGCTATCAAGGCCACTGAAGTAACACCCTCACATCACTTTTCCGTGGATTGGGACCTCTAACCATCATCAAAGGAGCATCTCCCAACCCTGGGTGCTCATATAGATTGACAGCAATGAGTGGCCTACTATCCCTCCTCCCCTGCAGATGCAGCAGGAAAGAGAAAAAAGATTGAAAGCATGTATCTCACCTACCTTCTTCTGTGCTGCCCCTTCCCACCCAGGTTGGAGACCCTCATGGGTGGGCATCTCTCTCAAATGTGAGGACAATATTAAAAATAAATTGAAAATTTAAAAATTTTTTTAAAAAGACCCAGAAAAGAGGCAATTACAACAATTAGGAGATGATAAAATAAGATACTAAGATATAATTCCAAATAACTATAGTATTATACATCATATTATTAAGTAAATAAACCTTCAGCAAAATACTGATGTCACAACAGGTTCAAACTGCAAATGAGGATGTCTTTAATATAGTACTTAGAATTACAAAATGGAGGTAACTGAAATTAGCATATATGTGAAAACCAAATATTTTAATATCTAAAATTGTTAGTGAGACTTTTCAAGGCATATAATACCCCACATAATATCACTGTATATTTAAAACGTATACAAACGGAATAAAGATACTCATTTGCTTAGAAAACTTACTAATCTCAGAAGATCTGCTGGGTATAGGAGGTGGCTGTGTGCCATTTCGCGTAGGCATGGAGGACTGGTGTGAGACAGGAGAAAATGGAATCATATCAAAGATGTCAGTAGAGGGTGAACTGGTCATCACACTGCCTGCCTGCAATGAAGACAACAGGAGTTAAGGTGGTAGCTCCCACAGACACAGTATAATGCTACAAATTCACATATATAACAACAATTCAGTTCAATTCGAAGGAACTTGGCATTTTTAAACCAAAAATACTGAAGTGCTGACAATCTCACGTGTTATTGTATTATGTCAACATTTATGAATGATTTAAAAAATCTTTTTAAATATCTTCAAAGCTGAAGGCAAAAATGGTGAAAACCCTACTCTTTATGGATATTTAGCATATAGTAAAATTTGATGTCTCTGGAAAAATTTGCTTGCATCATAGATTAAAAATCATGATAGTGTACAGAAATGTGGTTTATTAGTGATTTGTATAAGATTATAAAATTTAAGCACATAATTGAATACAATGATACACTTCCTTACACACAAAAATATTCAATACAATGGTAAATTTCTTTCTAGGTTTTTAAAAGAAGGTTTTCTAATTTATAATAAGTATTTAATGGTCACCTGGTATTCTTCATTGTAGTATCTTAGATTCCTAAAAACTTCCTTGAGATTTCTATATTAAATAACTACCAGTGAGATGAATTAATTTTCACTAATGTACCAAAAAAAAAACACCTTGGCTTATCTGCTAAAATCTGGGTTAAGACTGACATATATTAAGAAACAAAAATAACTCAGTTGGCATACGCAGAAGAAGAAATGGACTGAGAATACTTATAGTGTTTAATATTAAAATTAGAATTCTGAAAACCCATATCTTTTCTGATTCAAACATGGTACAGGTGATGAAGAGAAGACTGCTTGTGCAACTGGCTTAAAACAAGCATTTCTATACTTGTTCACATCAGTAGGTTGTCATCTTCCATTGACACTCGTTACACATCTCAGCATTTTTCTTTCTCAGGAATGTTTGCCTTAGTCTTCTCGTTCCTCTATTTTACATGGCTTGCACCTCTCTATTTAAGAATCTTCTTAAGAATATACTTAAGGGCCCGGCACGGTGGCGCAAGTGGTTAAGGTCCTCGCCTTGCATGCCCAGGATCCCATATGGGCGCCGGTTCTAATCCCACCATCCCCGCTTCCCTTCCAGCTCCCTGCCTGTGGCCCGGGAGAGCAGTCGGGAACGGCCCAAGGCTTTGGGACCCTGCACCCGCGTGGGAGATCCGGAAGAGGCTCCTGGCTTTGGACCAGCATAGCATCGGCCGTTGCACTCACTTGGGGAGTGAATCATCAGACGGAGGATCTTCCTCTCTGTCTCTCCTCTCTGTATATCCGCCTTTCCAATTAAAAAAAAATAATAAAAATAAATCTTTTTTAAAAAAGAATATACTTAAGAATAAAGAATACTCAAATCTTGAATGCCATTAAAAGACAATCAAACTTTTCTTCTCAACTGTCTCTTCCCCTCTGCCCTAAACTCCTTTAGATTCTAGGCTTCCTGTTCCAGCTTGCACTTCATTCAACCTTAACCACTTTGAATCCAGAATCTTCTCTTTTTGCACAGCTTTTCCTTTTATCTATATAGGGAATTGCCTCAATTCCTAACGGCCAAACCTGAAAGACACTTAAAAATATCCTTTCTACTTGACCTTGTTCTATCACCTCTTTATACCTAAAAATAGCAGCTAACCAAAGGAAACAAAACGGACACAGTAAGTCTCCAAATGACAGCAGACTGATTCAAGACATAGCTGACTTTTCCATTACCATGTAAATGGCAAGTATTGGCAGGGTTTAGAAAAAACAGCATGTAGGATTATAAAATGGCTTTGTGCTTAGTCAATTACACGGGGTCTTGGGATTCTGCTCTCACTGAATGGACAGGGAAGGGCACATTTAGAAGGTGGTGAAATTAACGTGTCCAATCACAGTCTGGATTCGGAGGAGTTGACAGGAGTGACAGAAAATGGAAGAAATGTTTAGACTGGGAGATGAATCATCACTCCTATGCCAGAAAGAGGACAAGTGTGTCTAAAGCCCAGGTCGCTAGGATCAGACATTCTGTGCAACAGCTGTAAAAGAAAGACAGAAAAAGAAATGTACTAGAAGAAACTGTGAGAGGAAAGGAAAAATTATCAAGTGCTTTACTGAATTTGCAGGGCATTGCCACAATAGTATGAATATAGCTCTGGGGGCAGGCATGGCTTGACTGTAATCCTCCACCTGCAAGAACCTTCATCAATTATGGGCATGGATTCATGTCTCTGCTGCTCCACTTCCCATCCAGCTCCCTGCTATGGCCTGGAAATGCAGTGGAGGATAGCTCAAAGCTTTGGGTCTCTGAATCTGCATCAGAGATCCAGAGGGGTTCTTGGCTCCTGGCTTTGGATCAGCCCAGCTCCAGCCTTTGTGGCTATTTAGGGAGTGAACCAGTGGATAGAAGATAACTCTCTCAGTCTCTCCTTTTCTCCATAAATCTGCTTTCCCAATAAAAGTAAATATGTTTTTTTTTTAAAATAAGTTTGAAGTTGGTTTTCTTACTGTGACAGTCATCAGATTATAGATCACTAACATTACTCATGTGTTCCTTTTTGCTGAAATAGGATATTTCAGATATTTTATACAAAATACTGTATTCATCAGAATTAGAGGGAAACAGAAATGAAAAGGAAAATGAGGGAGAAGACCTCTGGGTAATAAGATGGATAAAGAAAGGGTAGTAATAAGAGAAGAACAGCCATAGAAATAGAAATAATCAAGTGCAAATAAAGCTATTATTTGCTACCTCCTCAAGCATTAGAACTTGCAACATCCATTTTAGCTTTAGCTCTCAAGAAATTCTTTTGAAACTTTAGCAAGAACAGCAATATTATGTCATCATTATAACAAACTCATGGAAATTAAGGCCTATGGGTTCTTTGTGACTTATTCCTCCTGGAAGCTAGAAGCAGAGTAAAAATTGAAAACAGGATAAATCCAGTCACCATGCCCTTCCTATAGGTACTGGGGAGTCCCCAACGGTAAGAAGGAATCAGGAGTTCTGTAATACTTCAGAAAGGTAACAAATAATAACTTCTCTAACACTTCAGAGATGTAACAAATAGTAAGTAGTGTACTGTACTGGGTCTGAAAGAAGTGGTTTCCCATGGATATCCTGGAAAGCATGGAAAGCTTCAAACAAACCTAAGTTCAAACAGATGATCTGTCACGTGTCAGAGTGGTCAATGTAAACAACCAGCTCAAATGACATAGTGGTCAAGCTTGTACTCACTGTGAGAGTTCTAGCAAGAGGCACCCAGGAAGTGTCTCTATTAGTGAAGTGTTTTCCCCAATGACATGGCACTGAGCGACAGTCACACATATCACATAAGGGTAGGAGACAGAGACATTATCTCATGGCTGAAAAAAAAGTTTTCATTTTTGTTTTCTTATTTGCTTTTGTTTACTTTTGTTCTTGTTTTCTGGATGAGGGATCATAGAGAGGCACTGAGGAAGGGTTGGGCGGTAACAGTACTGAATCCTGAGTCAACATGGGAAACGGGTCTCAGGAGCCCTGGGAAGAGGGACAGGCTCAACAAGGGCCTCAGAAACAGCACTCGACCAGGAGCTTCCAAACGGAGGTCTCTGAGTAGAGGCTAGAAATGAAAAAACAAAAACAAACAAACAAGAACAACAACAAAAAAAACTGAAGAGCATGGGCAGTTAGTAGAACCTGAATTCTTCCCTCAGTTCCCCCAAACTGTGAACTATGTCAAGAGGGCAGATTTCGGCCATGAGGCTTGCTAGGCTACAAGTTTGCCATTGACTGTGACTGAGCCAGAAATCCTACACACAGCGTTTTGGCCTGGAGCTGGACTTCACACCTACAAGCCCCACTTCAGACATTTACCAATACTAGTAACACTCTGAAGAAGCCAAAATCAACCTGACTTTAAATAAACCTCATCGCAGAAAGCAGTCTATATCATAGTTACCCAGATAGTGATTTCCCTATTGATCTCCTTAATAAGATCCCCACATTTAACAAGCTAAGGGTATGTTTACGTGTACTTAGAAAACTGGTTTGGTTTACATAGCTGAAGATATAACTGGAATTTTGGTGACCCCTTTTCCTTATTATAGGTTAAAACTGTAAGCCACATGTGACCAAACACCCTATGTAACATATGGAGTAGGATTATATATTAAAATTAACTTATGAATATTTATCTCCCAATTCATACTTGCACAGAATCAATTATTATACTGAGTAAAGCACAATTATTGTGGAAGTTGTCTTAGATAACATCTGTCTTAAAATGTGATTGAAAGTACTCTATGGTATTTTATGATCAATAATGTCCACGATATTTTAAATGTTTGCCTCAAAACAAACTGGAATTCCAAATGATCTAACTTAAAAGTGCCCCAATAGTTGCATTATGCATAATATTAGTTACTCTGAAATTATATCCTTATAAAAATGTGTACAATATGGAAATAAATATTGAGATACACCACAAAAGTAATATTTTCACCTTCACCATAGTAGAGCAAGCAGCGTCAACACTGACTCAAAGACCTCTGGGTCATTGCTAAGCGAAACTTTTTGTTTAGGTTACCCAGGTCTCCTAAAATATTGAATTCAGCACTTTGATCTGCCGTCTGCAGATATCCTTTGGCAAAGATACAGCTCTTTCTAAAAACCCTAATGAGGAACAACATCACACTCAAAGTTAACTCCGCAGATACAACTGATAATGTAAACTCCAAAGTCGGGATGACAAAGGAAGTCCTCCTGATCAGCAAAGACTGGTCTCTGGCCAGTAACTGGAAGATGGATGGACTTTGCCCGAACACACCATTGTCCAGATTGTATTAAGACTTTGTATGGTGACAGAAAAAGCAAAATGAGATATTACACTACTCCCAAGAAAATAAGCATAAAAGCAGGTTAAACTGGCTGTTCTGAACCTGTACGAAGTGGACAAAAATGGCAAAATCAATTGCTTGCATTGTAACTGCACTTTGCACGGATGTGGTGAGACTTTGAAAGACATGACAAGTGTTGTCTGACTTATGGCTTCAACAAA